TTATAATTTTTATTGTTATAAGGAATTTACGTATTTTTGATTCATTGCATAATATTAGGATATCAGGTTCAATTTCGTTTCTTTTTCTGTATTTTTCTTTAATAGAATCATTGTCATTTTTCTTTTTTAATTTAGTTTTTTTTATACATCAATATCCTTTCAAATTCCAATCCATATGTACATATACTTCAAAATCGCTTCTACTTTTTGAAATTCTGTTAATAGTTCCTTTTATAAAATGGCTCACTGAAAGTGTATTTATAAATGTAATGTATTTATATTAATTGCCGTTGCATCTATTTTATATTATATTTTTTCTCAATTTACTGTTAACAGAATTCTCTTGTAAATTTCGCGTAAGCATATAAGAATACAATTTAAGATAAATGCTAACAAAATCATGAGTGAGATAAAAACAGTGAATATGCAACGAAAAATATAGACTCGGTCAGTTTATTAGATAAAAAAAATAATAGGCTATTTCGCGGTAGACGAACAAACTGTGAGAAAAATGAATTGATGATTAAATTGATAATAAGATATTTTTGAAATTCTTTATTTTATACTACAAGAATATTAATTAGAAAATAAATAAATAAATTATAATATTTATGATCTAAGCAATTCAAATATTATATTCAATTTTATACTCTGGAATCATTATTAATAATTATAATAATAATTATTAAGCAAATATCTGCCATGTGTAATTACATTAAATTCAATCTTTGTTTTATATTTTATCTATGTTTTATATGTCGAAGAATTAAAATAACAAATATATAATTAAAAATCGATTTTTCTAACTTCTAGGATTAAGTAATTAAGATTTCTAATCCATTTAAAATTCTTGAATTCCCTTTAAAACAAATCATAACTATAATTCTATATATTCTATACTATAAATAGATACTTATAATACAATCATAAATTATCTTATAAATCTACAACAAACTAAAAATTTATGTATCGAATATTTTAAAAAAATATATTTAGTTCTTAAATGATTGTTATTGTCAAATCTATCTTATTATCAATAACATTAATTACTTAGAGTTAAATCTAGAATAATATTTGCGATTGTATTCTTTCGTCTTTAATTAGCCAAGTATAAATTAGCATAGACAAAATGTAATACGGTGTTTTTTCTATCTTTTGCTGAACGTAGGTATTAGCTTTCAGAACAGTCTATAAATGGAAATGGACTCTAAAGCAATCGCTGTTAAACTTATTCTTAAACAAGAACGACTTTTGCGCCGAGAAATAATCGCGACGCCCTTTAATTATCACATATATCGATACTTCCAAGGCGAGGGATATTTGCTATTTTAACGATAGATTGTAAATATGTTATACAACAAATTTGATAACATATGCTTCATTGATTTTTTATTATATATTTTCGAAAAAAAAAAAAAACAAAAATGTTTTAAGATTTGAATTAAAAGAAGTATTTCTGGAACAACCATGTGAAATTTATCTGCTCTTTTAAAATCGATCATGTATTAAGTCGATTGTGTCAAATAACTCTCGCCAAATTTCAATTACCAATGTTTTAAATGTGTTATTCCAATGAAAAAACAATAAGTAATATCTAGTAAATAATCGATAAGCGTCAAATAAGTAATAATTACTATTAATGTGTTACTGATCTCTTATCGACAACAAAAAAATATTATATGTGTAATTTAACATTTAAATAGATACAATGGTAAGTATTAGAAAATACCGGTAACCGATAGTCTGTTGTGATTTTCGATACTTTGGTTAATATAAGTTTAAAGATGTTTGCCAAAGTATTAATTATCGCCATGACAAAAAAAGAACATATCCACAAAATACATTGTATTGCTGTTTAAAAATAACAAAAAAATAATCTGAATACTAAAAGAAGTACCAAAAGGAGAATCTCAAAGAGAAAAACAAATTGATTCAAATATCGATTTTTATTCCATTATTTTTAACGATGATGTAATTTGTTTGTTTGTTCAGCAGCATGAGATATCGGAATTTAAGTGATTTTTTATCAGGGAAGAAACAAAATTTTATGTAGTCAACAATAATGTATGTCGAAATAAATATATTACTGATACTATACGTATGCTTAAATATTTATAAAATTAAATTGTATAATATAATAATATATTTAACAAAATATATAATTTTAGATTAATAATTATTCAATAACTAAAAAAAAAAATAATTCACAATTAACAAAATTTTTTAATACAGATCGACTTATTTTGTAAATAATTTTTAATAATGACTATAATATAACTTTCTAGTGCAATTAATGATTAAAATATTATTAAAATTACATGTTATTTAACAAAGAAAGAAAAAATAAATAGATAATTTTTACTATTTTATTCTACAGATAAATAAACTTTAATGTAAATATATTGAATCAAAAGTTATACATAACGAGCAAAACATTAAATAATTTTCAAATTAATTTTTCTCAATCAAAATAATCAACAATCAAAAATTTTAAATGAACTCAACAACTCAAAAATAGAAAAACCATAATTTCAAAATATTCATATATTTTAAATATAAATATTAAATTAGATTTATCATAATTTATTAAGTATATATTTTATTGCTGCTTTACACAAACAACAAATTGCATAATAATCGTCATTTTGAGCTTGAAAATCTTCTGCGAAGATTGCACATCAAGATATTATATAATTTTTAAAAATAAATGCATTAATGCATTAATTACAAAAGAATTGCGTTAGTTCGATTGAAAAATATCGGCATTATACGATAATCTATTATTAATAGGTCGAATAATTTTAGTAATTGCTACAATTGTACATGAAAATGAATTGCTTCTTATTTTTATGAATAATTTAATAAACTTAATTCGTGACATTGGCTCTATTAGGGATTGATCCCTTGAATAAAATTTTTGACCAAAATTCAATTCAAAAAATAATCATAATAGTAATTCTTCAGAAATTTTTTTAATTTATATGTTCTTTTTAAAATTATGTTAAAAGTTCTATATGATTTATATTATAATTATCACATTTTTAAATGTTTTTATATAATTGCTTTCATACATTCTTCATACTCCCTTTTTTTTTTATCCTAAAATTATTATTATAGAACTGCCATGGAAATATGTAAATTATTTGAATTACATTACATAAAAAACCAAAAAATAATATATAATAATTATAACATAATTACACAAATATCATAATTATTTAAGGAATCAATCCATTTCTACATTGTTCATAAATTACAATAAAATTACAATATATTGTATCTCTTGCAATGCAAAGATAATATTAAGCAAAAAAAAATATGAAATGACATTTATATTATATATGTGTCTCATCTATAGGACTCTATACACGTGTGTAGAACCCTGATACTAAAAAACAAAAATATAACCTACAATTCATACGAAACACAATTCACTGAGCATATCATTTGTAAGCAAGCGATTACTGTGCTATTATATTGAAATTCCTTTTCAATTATATTCACCTGTGAAAAATAAAAAAAATTTCCGACAGCTGTATTTAAGAAATAAATATAACACTATGCTCACACATTTTAATTATGCAATTTATTATATAGTTGATTATATTTTTCTATACATATTTTTCTTACTATGCTGCAATATGCGCCGTTTTAACATATTTATGTAATGAGATCCATGTGCAATTAATATATATATCTACAATTATTTACAGAATTATTAACTAAAAGAATATGTACTTTTCTTTCGTTTTCTCTATTTTTAACTATTATTATGTTGAATATTTTTAATATGCGTACGAAATTTTCGATCAAATGTTATTGCTTCTTTTATAATAAGTATATGAAGAAATGAAATAAAAATGTGTTAGAGCCAAATATTTTAAAAGTCAATAATGATCAAATGATTATAAGATCATTGAATTATTTTAAAATGAAAATATTTCATTTCAAGTTTTTGCTCATTCTATTCAATTAAAAATAAATTAATATAAATAAAAATTTTTAAAAGCATTACAAGTTAAAAAATAAAAATAAAAAAGGTCAAGATGATTATAATTTAATGTATTTATTTTTAATTCAAAATATATTATATAATATAGCATGTGTACATATACAAAAATGTATAGGAAAAATGTTAGAAATCATCACTATAAATTTATTTAATTTAATTATTTAACAAATTATTTATAATTACACATAAATATAATAAACAGTAGTCGTCCACTTTTAAACTGTTGTTAATATAAAAATAGCATATAATATATTATACCACGTTAGCATTTCTTCAAACAATACGTAAAATTATAAACGCATAATCTAAAATAAATTCTTCTAAAAATTGCACAACGAATATTATTTATTTTTATTATTTATTTATATTATTTATTTTTCAATTATCAATAATTCAATACTATACAATTGCCATAGCTAATTTATCAGCTACGAACTATTAAACAGTTGATATTAGACTGATTTCATACATTTTGTTACTAAAACACTATATGTTTATTCAATATCGAACAAAATTTTCAATATATAGTTATTTTTTATGGATTATATATATTTATATTTAAATATATTTAAATATATTTAATATTTGCAATTTAATTTTATTAATTTATTAATAAAGAAAATTATTTAACGTCTAATAAAATAAAATTTTTTTATATATTTGGTTTTAATATAATATAACGCATATAAAAACAAATCTCGATACTATTATATGAATACAAAACTAATCAAATTAGCTCCATTTATGTTATGTTATTTTATTATACGTATTTATGTTATATTACAAACATTTTATTTAAATTTTATTAATAGTTTGAATATATTTATTCTAACAATTTTATTTAAAAAATTTGGTAATATGGAAATTAATTTTATTTTATCGTTACATGAAAATGTTATTAAAAATATAAGTATAAATGCCTTTCTATATATTATATATTTCTGGGCAACGCTCGCCATAGGAGGGCACCACTTGAGATGTTAGAGAACTAAAAATCGTGATCCCGCAGTTGGTCTTGAAAGAATGCAATACACGGACGTATCGTGACCGTACATACGAGGTCGAATTGTTCTGTAGCGATTCCGCTTGTACCGATACTTGTAATGCTAACAGTTTCGAATTTTCATTTATAGTAACGGATACGCGTATCATTGAAAAACAACAAAATCTATACGGAAATATACGTGACAGTAATGACAGTGCCAATTACACAATCGTGGCTTCGCTACGTTTAGAAAATCGCTAAAGCATTAAAATCGACAAGAAAAGTGCGTGTACGTGAGTGAATAGAGTGTCTCAACCCTGATCTCCGCGCCCTTCTGAATCGTTGACAGTAGTTACCGTGATTTTCTTTGAACGATATTATCGATGACGTGCTGTGGATCGATTTACGAGGATAAAAAGGTGTTGCATGCTGCGTGCTAGGGCAAAAAACAAGGGTTTTTATTGTCACATTTTAACCATCGAGGTGGGCTGCACCGACAAGACTGTGGACGTTCCTAGATTGGCGGTAAATACACATTTATCAACTGTGTATCTTCTTCGTTCTTTCTCGCTCTCGTGAACTTGCTTTTTCTTCTTCTTTTTACTGCTTATGTCCTATCATCATTCATCTATCATATGTACCATTTCGAATGCAATTGATAATTTTTCTACCATTTTTAATTTTTTCTAATTTTTTT